AGGCCTTATAACTGTAACCATCTTTTACTTTAACTCATTCACTCCTGAAATTTGATAATGAACTATTCCAATCTTTGAATTGGAGAAGTTCAAATGTGTCTTTAGGGGTGAATGAGGTAAATATTTGCTTTTGGTAAATACCCTAAGATCATATTTTCAATGGAATTTCTTGGTGATCTTACAGATTACTTTTAAATGACCTTCTGATGACCTTACAGGTGACCTAACTATGACTTTCTAATGATCTTCTGATGAACTTCAGGGCTAGAAATTATTTTTTAGCTCACCTGGCCCAAAGGGTTACAAGTGTGAAATTAATACCAGGTGAGTGATGCAGGCCCATTGGGCCTCTTGTTAATACCACTAGTCAACTTTGATGGTAGTTCCTAATTTTAGCTAGTCCAATTGTGTAAATTCCACTCACCCAATGTTGTTTTACAAGACAATCGGGCTAGCGGGATTTAGAAGCACTAGTCCAGCTGGAGTTTCACTGGTCTCAGAGTATCAGGTTCCCCTTATTGTCTAGCCTCAGACTTTACAGGTGACCTTGAAGATGACTTTATTGAGGAACTTAACGACTTACTGACGACCTTACAGGTAATCACCAACAATCTCCTTGAAGCTGACCTTCTAATGACCTGATGTGTTGATTAGGGTATGGTTGACCTCGACTTGAGGTGACTTATATTTTGATGGTGTGGTTGACCTCCACTTGAGGTGACTGTTATATTTTGATGGTGTGGTTGACTCATGATGATTTGTTATATGTTGACTGGTTCCGTTGACCCTGATGGGAAGTAATAAGTAAACCTATTCTATCAAAAGTATGAAGCCCAATTCTCATATAAAAAAATAATGTATTAAATCGATGAAAATAGATTTGATGGTTTATATTCAACAGTCCATTTCCCCCCCAATTCTATTTGTAACGACACATGGATGATTCATATTTCATGAACCTAAACTTCTGGGGAATTCAGGCAATTTCTTCTCAGATATTCTGGTCCAATATTTAATTAAATTCTGCCCTTCCCTGGAAGCAGGTTTAACGTTTTGTTCTCGGCTTTCTGGAGAAAATTAATGACTTAGTGATTTAAAAAAATGTTTTAAATTTGTGAGTAGTTGCAGCAGCTGGTTGCTTTTACATTGTCTTATAATGAATCTTCCTGAAATAAACAAAATGACTTTTATTTTTGTTGATTGAAAATTCTCACGTGTCAAACCCAAATTTAAAGTTTTAAGATTAATCTTGTATTACTGGAAGCAGTACTTACAAACAGAAATGTGGAGATTTGTTAAAAACATGATAATCAAGCACACTGCTGGTAATGTGTATTGTAACTCTTCATTATAGTGATCACTCTGGTTGTCACAGTACAGTCAAACCTGCTCCAGCAACCACCTCCATTAAGAGACCAGCTGTGTTAAGGGACCCCCTCCATTAAAAGACCACCTGTGTCAAGGGACCTCTCCATCAAGAGACCACCTGTGTTAAGGGCCCCCTCCATTAAAAGCCCACCTGTGTTAAGGGACCCCTCCATTAAGAAACTACCTTTGTTAAGGGACCCCTCCATTAAGAGACCACCTGTGTTAAGGGCCCCCTCCATTAAAAGACCACCCGTGTTAAGGGACCCCCTCCATTTAGAAACTTCCTTTGTTAAGGGACCCCCTCACTTAAGAGACTACCTTTGTTAAGGGACCCCTCCATTAAGAAACTACCTTTGTTAAGGGACCCCCTCCCTTTAGAGACTTCCTTTGTTAAGGGACCCCCTCCATTAAAAGACCACCCGTGTTAAGGGACCCCCTCCATTTAGAGACTTCCTTTGTTAAGGGACCCCCTCCATTAAGAGACTAACTTTGCTAAGGGACACCTCCATTAAGAAACTACCTTTGTTAAGGGACCCCCTCCATTTAGAGACTTCCTTTGTTAAGGGACCCCCTCCATTAGGAGACTACTTTTGTTAAGGGACCCCTCCATTAAGAGACTACCTTTGTTAAGGGACCCCCTCCATTAAGAGACTACCATTGTTAAGGGACACCTCCATTAAGAGACTACCTTTGTTAAGGGACCCCCTCCATTAAGAGACTACCTTTGTTAAGGGACCCCCTCACTTAAGAGACTACCATTGTTAAGGGACACCTCCATTAAGAGACTAAATTTGTTAAGGGACACCTCCATTAAGAGATTACCTTTATTAAGGGACCCCCTTCATTAGGAGACTACCTTTGTTAAGGGACCCCCTCCATTAAGAGACTACCTTTATTAGGGGACCCTCTCTATTAAGAGACTACTTTTGTTAAGGGACCCCTCCATTAAGAGACTACCTTTGTTAAGGGACCCCCTCCATTAAGAGACTACCTTTGTTAATGGACCCCCTCTATTAAGAGATTACTTTTGTTAAGGGACCCCTCCATTAAAAGACTACCTTTGTTTAGGGACCACCTCCATTAAGAGACAACCTTTGTTAAGGAACCCCTTCCATTAAGAGACTACCTTTGTTAAGGGACCTCCATTAAGAGACAACCTTTGTTTAGGAACCCCTTCCATTAAGAGACTACCTGTGTTAAGGGACCACCTTCATTAAGAGACTACCTTTGTTAAGGGACCCCCTCCATTAGGAGACTACCTTTGTTAAGGGACCCCCTCCATTAAGAGACTACCTTTGTTAAGGGACCCCTCCATTAAGAGACTACCTTTGTTAATGGACCCCCTCCATTAAGAGACTACCTTTGTTAAGAGATCACTTTGAATGTTTCCTATTGTAGTGATTTTATTGTGGGCTGAACCTGTATTGAAAGACCACTGTGTTAAGAGACCACCTGTGTTAATTATAAGAGACCACTTTTAACGATTCTCATAATAATGATTTCTTTGTATATTGAACCTGTATTAAGAAACCACCAGTGTTAAGAAACCACCAGTGTTAAGAAACCACCAGTGTTAAGAGACCACCTGTGTTCATTATAAGAGACCACTTTGATGTGGTCTCTTAAGTCTGGCATAATAATGATTACTTTGCATATTGAACCTGTATTAAGAGACCACCTGCATTAAGAAACCACCTGTATTAAGAGATCACCTGTGTTAAGAGACCACCAGTGTTAAGGGACCACTTTTAATGTTTACCATTGTAGTAAATTTCAATAAACTGAACATGTATTAAGAGGCCACTTTTATTACTTCCTGTAGCATTGTTTTGCAATATTTCCTCAGTCATAAGTGGTTAAAACGGCTAACAATGCAACACCACTGCCATAAATTGAAGTATGATATATGTGTTGCTTTTGAAATATAGTAATCATCCTGACACAGTTGAAGTACTGTGTAAGTGTCTAGTATGTACATGTCCAGGTGGCAGTGCTTTACGATTGAACCCCTTATAATCCACATGTTCAACATCATCTGTTAAACTGAGGTCGCATGCATCACTTCTGAACAATTTTAAATAACCCAACCAAGATTTGGATGGCATTCATATCAATTGGTGTGCCTCATGGAATGTGTCATTTCCAGTTGACATATTGGATATGGATAGAGAAGTAATGTATTTAAACGCTTACACCCTGACTAGACATTGTCTACCAAATCACTTCCCAGTCCAAACCCTCAAGGTAAACACTCAGTTTATTAGATAAAAAAAGTGTCTAGTCGTTGGAAATAAATTGAAATTCAGAATATTTATACGAATTGAATTACTATTGCATGGTATATGTACAAAAAGTGAAGTCTTTCTGGAAACTTTTTACAATAAGATTTCCTATCCTTCTTGTTATATTTCAAGTTGTTGTTTTTTAAGGAAGTTGTGGTACCTATATATTATGTTATTTTAACTCCATGCAAAATTTAACCTTAACACAAGTCAATGTTAAATGAATCCCTTTAGGGTGTGTACAATGATTTCAATAGAACTAATATTGATGCTACAAATTACTCGAATGTTTATATGCATTACATCTTTAAAAAGTCACACTGGAATTTGTAAATAAGTAATATAGGGTCTGACACTACCTGATCAGCTTTAGACAAAATCATGAGTTAACCTTCTCGGCAGTTTTTGTCTAGACTGTGCAACCGTTCAGCCCTTCTGTGATCAAAAGCAGTCAATTGTTTCCAGGAATCGGTACACACAGCAGTAGATGATAAGGGGGGTGCTTTAGGGTTACAAACACATCGCAAATTGGTTTTGGTGTATACCTAGCGAAGTGGCATACTGTTGTGTAGACCGAATTGGATGTGACTGGATTAGATGGGTATCTTGTTTGCTACCAGTCAATAGTATTGTGGTTCCTGCAGCTTGTCTTTAAAAGTAAATTAAAGTTCCCTTATTTGTAGTATTGCGTTACAGTAAGTTAAAGCTCTGGGGTTGGAACCATTGAACGTGTCTGTCACAGGATTAGGTTAGTTTAACTAGCTGTGAGATCTTCCTGCACTTCGTAAGTAGAATATGTAATTGAAAACCTAGAAATACTTTAGGGTGGTGAGGCTGGTATCAGTCGGGGAAACAACATTTGGGAGGTCGGTGAGGGTGACGAAGCTGACATGTCTTTATCGATACATTGTTGAGGAGATCTGGACCAGATAAGGGCTATTTCTGGGATGCTGAAACAACACCAAAGAACAGCTATACAATAAAGGGCCTTTGAATACTAATAAGGGGTTTCAAACAACAAGATCAAAGCTAAATTTTACAGATAATACTTGGTTTTCCTTCATTTGTAGGCACAATTGGTTACTATATACTGATTCCAAATAGACTTCATCGAAAATATTTGAGCTACTTTCAGTATCACCTGTACCTGCTATATGTTACAATTATAACACATATAACTATTACATGTTTTTTATTACACATACACGTGTACCTGTTTACGTACTCGCAATGTATAATGTAATATAATTTACTGTATTTAATCTTGTTCCAGATACAAGAACTTTGTAAATTCAGTTGTGATATTTCTGATTTGTTACTGTCCTAATAAACTGTGTTTTATCGTTACAGATGATACAATAGGGGAAGACATGTTGGGAAAGCGACGTCACAGTATCATGGGGCCGGGTGGCAAACGTCGAAAACTTCACGGTCCACCTGTCCAGAAAAATGCCCTGATGCAGCTCAATGAACTGAAGCCAGGTCTTGAGTTCCGGTTCGTCTCCCAGACCGGACCGGTGCACGCCCCGATGTTCATCATGTCCGTTGAGGTCAACAGCACTACGTTTGAGGGAAATGGAACAACAAAAAAGCTGGCCAAACTTCGTGCCGCGGAGAAGGCTCTGAAGTCTTTTGTACAGTTTCCCAATGCGGCCGAGGCTCACAAGGCTATGGGTCGTGATATTACGACTGACGATTTTACTTCTGACACAGCAAACAACCCCAGTAATGAACTGCTGTTTAATGATTTTGAATCTCATAACATTAATGCAATGGGGAATTTCCCTGCCATGGAACAAAACGGTGCCAGCAAGCCGAAGAGAAAAGCTGCCGTTCCTGCTCAACCTGATGGCAAAAACCCGGTCATGATTTTAAACGAACTTAGACCAGGACTGAAGTACGAATACGTTGGGGAGCGAGGTGAAAGTCACGCAAAAAGTTTTGAAATGTCTGTGACAGTGGACGGAGAAATCTTTACGGGATCTGGTCGCAATAAAAAGATGGCCAAATCTCGCGCCGCCCAGGCAGCACTGACCAAGATATTCCACCTGGAGTTCCCCTACCCTCCAGGTATGTGGCGTCTCATTATTTACAAACTCTTTATACATATATGTGAAAAAACCTGGTAAGAAGACATATTGGATGTGGGTATGTGAGATGTGTGTTCGCGACTAGGTGAGGTTGTACTTGTAATGTAAGGAGGGTTTGTGGGAGTTTGTAACATAAGGTGGTAGTATATTCACTTACTGGCAGTTCCCATGATAGGCTTTTAATCCAATCTACAGTGGTAAACAAACAAGATAACACACATTTATATAAAAATAGAAAATCCCAAACTGGAAGAGGACAATGAATTATTCATTGGTGTACCCTTGTCAATAGGTGTGAACATGTAATTAATTTAAGTGTTTTAGGTTTGTTTTGGTACGATATCCACCAAAACAAGTGCCAGAGTACATGTTAGCATAGTCACACCTTCAGCCAACGTACCTGCAGATGTTCATCTCTGATCAAATCTCTCACCTGAAATTAACAGTTCAAAGGGAATACAATCAGGTGAGGAGACCTGTAAAGTATTGGCTCTGTGATGTGGTGCAGGCTGAGCTTATTAACACAGGCTTTCACGCTAATGCTGGGGTACAAAGTTAATTATTACTGCTTGATTTGACGCTTGTAGAAGACTTTGATAAAGTCTCCCTGAGGACTGAATGTGCCGTCGGTCAGACTATTTGTTGATTCGCTTGTTTTTAAATCCGGATCCCTGCCATGTATTTCTGGTACATCGTTAATTACTGATACAGACATGTACACCTTAACATATTGATGACTGCTCATTAACTTTTGTTGTATCATACGGTTAGTCACTTTTATTTTGTGACAGATTAATTTTCTTTTTAATTTGCAAGGAGACTCATTTGCAAAATTAAAATCTGCCATTAGTATTAAATGCCTTGAAATGGACTATCAGGTACCGAATAGCATCCTTCAATTACAGGTTAAAGTATCTAAGAACAAAACCTTTCGTCAGAGTTCGTAAAATAAAGAACACATGACAAGAAATTTATTCACAGAATCAATTCTTAAGCCTTTCATTGATCTACCTGTATACAAATTTCCATTTGTCTACAAAGAGTTTTGACAACTCAATTGTCCCTGTCTGACAAATGAAGGAACCATATTTATGCATTCGTTGTCTACTTCCATCCACCATTCTAACCAAGGCCGAATTCTTCCTATCCCCATACAGTTTCCCTATCTTCCTTTCGCTCCACTGAGCCTCCCTATCCACTTCTGTCAACTTACTGATTGCTGTAGATTATTTAGGTACTTCCTTATACAGGGAGGTAGTAATAACTAGTGTCCAATCCCTTTGTTTCATTTTATTGGCATTGTCACGTACTCTACCGAATCACATGTTGTCTTCAGAGTTTATACAAAGATCAGTTTTGAGAATTCCTCCGATGAACTCGTATTTCAGGGTTCCAAGGACAGATGAAGAGGTCACTGTTGCTATTTAGGTCAACAACAGGATCACATCAACCAACAACACCACTTTAGTGTAGCGTATAGTTACCTATCACACAGGATCACATCACCAAACGACACCACTTTAGTGTAGCGTATAGTTCCCTGTCACACAGGATCACATCAACCAACAACACCACTTTAGTGTAGCGTTTAGTTCCCTATCACACAGGATCACATCAACAAACTACACCACTTTAGTGTAGTGTATAGTTCCCTATCACATAGGATCACATCAACCAACGACACCACTTTAGTGTAGCGTATAGTTTCCTATCACACAGGATCACATCAACCAACGACACCACTTTATTGTAGCGTTTAGTTCCCTATCACACAGGATCACATCAACAAAGGACACCACTTTAGTGTAGCGTATAGTTCCCTATTACACAGGATCACATCACCAAACGACACCACTTTAGTGTAGCGAATAGTTCCCTATCACACAGGATCACTTCACCAAACAACACCACTTTAGTGTATTGTATAGTTCCCTATCACATAGGATCACATCAACCAACGACCCCACTTTATTGTAGCGTTTAGTTCCCTATCACAAAGGATCACATCAACCAACGACGCCACTTTAGTGTAGCGTATAGTTCCCCATCACACAGGATCACATCAACCAATGACACCACTTTAGTGTAGCGTACAGTTCCCTATCACACAGGATCACATCAACAAACAACACCACTTTAGTGTAGTGTATAGTTCCCTATCACATAGGATCACATCAACCAACGACACCACTTTAGTGTAGCGTATAGTTTCCTATCACACAGGATCACATCAACCAATGACACCACTTTAGTGTAGCGTATAGTTCCCTATTACACAGGATCACATCACCAAACTACACCACTTTATTGTAGCGTATAGTTCCGTATCACACAGGATCACATCACCAAACTACACCACTTTAGTGTAGCGTATAGTTCCCTATCACACAGGATCACATCAACCAACGACACCACTTTAGTGTAGCGTATAGTTCCCTATCACACAGGATCACATCACCAAACAAAACCACTTTATTGTAGCGTATAGTTCCCTATCACACAGGATCACATCAACCAACGACACCACTTTATTGTAGCGTATAGTTCCCTATCACACAGGATCACTTCACCAAACAACACCACTTTAGTGTAGCGTATAGTTCCCTATCACACAGGATCATATCAACCAACGACACCACTTTAGTGTAGAATATAGATTCCTATCACACAGGATCACATCACCCAACGACACCACTTTAGTGTAGCATATAGTTTCCTATCACACAGGATCACATCACCTAACGACACCACTTTATTGTAGCGTATAGTTCCCTATCACACAGGATCACATCACAAAACGACACCACTTTAGTGTAGCGTATAGTTCCCTATCACACAGGATCACATAAACCAACGACACCACTTTAGTGTAGCATATAGTTTCCTAGCACACAGGATCACATCACCTAACGACACCACTTTATTGTAGCGTATAGTTCCCTATCACACAGGATCATATCAACCAACGACACCACTTTAGTGTAGCGTATAGTTTCCTATCACACAGGATCACATCACCAAACACCACCACTTTAGTGTAGCGTATAGTTCCCTATCACACAGGATCAATTCATCAACCAACGACACCACTTTAGTGTAGCGTATAGTTCCCTATCACACAGAATCACATCACCAAACAGCACCACTTTAGTGTAGCGTATAGTTCCCTATCACACAGGATCACAGTATCAATTTTGCCACACATCTTATGTGCTTTTGTTGACGGCAAATGCATTGGGTTTAACAATTACAACTTACGGTACTCCTTCATGGTTAGAAAGTGTGAGAGAAGACTTAGCAGAAATCTGAACCCTTGGGATAAGATTTTTGAGGTTCAGCACTTGGCAAAGCCTCTTTCTGAATCTCAATAAGTTTACACATGGTATGAGATTTTTTGGTATCACACATCACACAGGCGTGGTAGATGATTTAAATCCTCGATTTGTAATGTACATAATTATGTAAACAAAGAGCTTAATGTCCACAATTTGTTGTGTAAGCAAAATTAGAGCTCCATATTGGTGAACTTACATAAACAAAGATTCCAGCATCCCCTAGATCTTTAACAGATACCAACTTTTAAAAAGGATGAAACCATGCATTGTTAATTATGTCCTGTATGTTAACATATGGCAACTAACAAATGGACCAGTACATGTGGAAAGTGTATTAAAGAGATTGTATAATTATATAATCCTTCATTTGTATACAGTAAAACCTCACTCTGTAGTCAACACTTCACACGTTTATTTAGCCTTGTTCTGACACTACGCTGGTCTGTTCATTCATAAAATATGGTGTTAGGAAGTGTAAAAACTTACTTCTGTATAAACATTGATAAATAGTCGCACCTATTTGTTTACTCGGAGCTAGTGCTTTAGCCAATTAATGCCACAGGAACCATCTATCTAGTTCATTCCAACGTCATCCAACTACCGCACAACATTCAATTGTATCACTTCACAATGGATTCCTTACCGCAGCAATTAAACCCAGCCGGTGCAGTGGTTGACTTTGTAGAGCCATGTTATGGGACTCGCCCTAAGGTACAGTTTAGGCCTGCTGTTTTTATGGTGGCCTGTTTTATGAGTTCATGGGGAGCAATCTTTGCATTTGAGTTTGATGTCTTCACCCTGGCTCCCATCACTCCTACAGTCTCTAGTCCTAGATCTCAGCTCCATCGTAAGAATAAATTTCATTTGTTAGAACAATTCTCACATAAAATCCCTCTGATTTTGATATCTCCAGGGACCCGATCCCTTTATTACGAGGTGTGGCAGAACTCATTGCTGTAACAACTAATCTCTAGTGGTGAAATCTATTTTTAGCTCGCTGGTCATCCTTAATCAACCTTTTCAGTAATTTTTTTCTCAGACACCGTAAGTTCTATGCTCATGATGTTTGGCAGGCGGCTTGCTGAGGTGCTGGGCTATTTAATTCATTCAAATAAATGACCTTGCCAAACATTCAAGCAAGGTCATAGGGGTCAAAAGTGAATATTAAAATGACTCCTTATGAACCAAGATGATACTTACTCTGTAACCTCTAACTCAAATCTGAGACAATTGCAATATACTTATACATGTAGCAACATAATGAAAATTTATATGAACATTCTATTTTAATGAGCAGATGTTATTTCTGAAAAGCGGAGACATGTGTCTGGGCTACAAGGTTTGTTCTGTTAGAAAGATTGTAATGAAAGTAGGTGGAAGGGATTCTCATGTAATGCTCTCCATAATTGTGTAAAAAAGTCCTCGGGGGTCGGCGAAGTGTCACAAATAGAAATTGGGCCTCATGCCCCACTATAATTAGGCTCCACTTCAAACAAAGTAGTGGTCTTTCATTCAATTTTGATACCAAAGTATTTCTTAAGGTGGGGGGGACTATGGACTGCGCTGCTTATAATACACTGCTTTGTTCCTTTGTTTCAAGAATATTTTATTAAACATTAAACAAACAAAAAGGTTTACATGTAAC